CGTATAATAAAAGTTTTGTCGATGATACCAGGTTTTTGACGCATTTATATATATGTTGGAACGACAAGATTTATAGAAAAGTTACCTTTTATCGAGCAGGTATTTGCACAACTTGCTATCTTTCTACAAGATTCCCCATTGACGTCACGCCGCGTGTTTCTCATGGCCGCCGCTCGCGGCTGCAGGTCGGGGAATATTCTAAGTTTTGCCTCGCTATTACGCGGCGGAATCGCAACATTTCAATGAAAGGAGGTGTGTTTTCTGTCATTTGTGACAAGGTGAACAATATCAAAAGCAGAAGATGCCAATTCTTTCAACGTTAACATCGTTGCACAGCTCCTTTAAAGGGTAACTGCAAAGAAAAAAAAAACTGTATTTTTAAACAGCCTAATTGGGACAAGCATGTCACAAAACATTTTTTCCGCCAAACACAAAATTTTTTACAGCAATATTTATTGCGCGAGACTGATTTTAGTTTGCGGCTATTTCGTCCGTTTTAAATCGCGCCCCACAAAGTTGGTATTATACGTCACGTAGTGGCTGCTATACGTCACGGAGTGACGTATAACAGCCATTCCGCGCACGTCTTAAAACCTCGTTAACTCAACCCCCGCTAGTTCGGAAATTCGGATAATTTGAACTGCCGATCCGGTCCCGTCAAACGTATGTATTATTCAATGGCAGCAAATGCTCATTAATTTGGAGGGAACGTGGCGCACTATGGTTAATTCGGACAAATTCGGCAGGTGGCACTAGCTACCGTCCGTTCCAAAGGGTATGACCGCTATCCATCCGAGGTGCACACGTGGTTTTTCCGGTTTTCCCATGGCTCTTCGCTCTTCCGGTTCTCCGTGTTTTGCACCAGTTTTGCTCTAAATTGCCGTGCTTCAACCCGTTACTGGCATGGAAGCGGCAGAAGAATAGCTGCAACGGAAAAGGGTAGCACAAGTGACCGACGACTGGAATGGCAAAATCGCGACATGGGGGCCTAATGTTCCCGAGCGTGCCTATAGCGAGAGTGACAGTCACGTTTTATGCCTCAACGCGGAGATCCTAAAGCCCGCCATTTTAACAGCTATCTTATCCCTCAATTTTTTGCCGGCCACCCCCGCGTTGAAAAATGCAACGTGACTTGCACTCTCGCAATCGGCGCGCTCGGGAAAAATAGCGCCGGGTGTCGCGATTTCGCCGCTCCGATTATTGGTCAGTTGTGCTACTCGTTTTCCGTTGCAGCTGTACTAGGCTAAGAATTTAGCGACAAAAGTAAAAATACTGAGGGCCTTGAAGGACGGCGTCTCTCGACAAGTGACAGAAAATTACGACGTCAAAAGAAGCAGTTTGGCCACGTACGTGAAAATTGAGGCCGATATCGAGAGCGAGAAGTTCAACGCGAAAAGAAAGCGGCCTTGGAAGGTGGTGCACCCGAAACTAGAAGAGGCCTTGCTGTGCTATATTGTCCGCGCACGGGATGCGTAGCTCTGACAGTGCGAGTGCGGTGGAGCACTCGACCGCGCTAAGGAAAGTTGCCGGGAGGCCCAAGTGTCGTGCAGAAAGCAGGCGGTAATAACAGATTTCTTCTCAATATAAAGGTATGTCACAGGGAAACGTTTTCGCGCAGTTTTCTTTTTCCTTTCGATATTTCGACTTTCGGATAATTCTGACAATTTTGCCGGTCCCATGAGATCCGAATTAACGAGGTTTTACTGTATACGTCACGGAGTAACGTATAACAGTCATTCCACGCACGTCGAAAGAGTGGGAGTTTCGAATGTGGAGAAGTTGTGACTCCGGCTAAATTACATCCTGCGGCGTAAATATTGCTAGAAAGAATTTGTTTTTTCGCGGAAGATTTGTTTTCTGACATGCTTGTCCCATATAGGCTGTTTAAAGAAACTTTTTTTTTCTTTGCAGTTACCCTTTAATAACTAGTTGTAGGAAAGAAAGAAATGTGATACATAAATGGTAACCGTCACATGTATGTGCCAGGGCACTGCTGTTTGTACTAATAAAAAGGCACATGGCTTGTGATGTTGGTAACATGTACACATTGCGACACTGTTAATGCGAACAGGACATCGGCACCTTTTCGCATTTTATTAGGAAAGAGTATTGGTGGCACACAATTTTACCCCTTATAATAGAGCCCTAAATGAGCTCTTTCTATAACAATGATATCTTTGATGACAACCTTTCGGTTCTAAGAGAAAAACACAGAAAACTGGCGATCGCTTGTTCGCGCTAACAGTGTCTCGCTCTATACACCCTCACAATGGGCATGGCCTCGGTTATCGCAGCTTGTGGGACGTTCTTCCCTGTCAACTCTAGTTATAATTTCAGAGAGAAGTCCGAAGGTAGAGCTTGAATAACGGCACTGTGTACATTCACTGTGATGCTTGAACATGGTCAAACAGCTGCATAGGAGCCTTTGAGATTGCTTGTGTCTATATTCTCGTAATCCTGTTGGAGGCTGCAGGCTCCATTTTTACCGTGCTTGGTGTTTGTCACTAAATTAATATATGCAGTCAAGTTTTCCTATTTTGTCAAGACTGACAAGGCTGATCCCAATGTTGTGGTACTATGAATATTAGTTATTACCTTAAAGGGATACAAACCAAATTTTTGAGCTCACAAAACAAGGCTGGAGCGATAGGTGGGACGCTACAGAACCCCAAAACACCACTCGTACAGCGTTATCTCTAACAGATGGCCGTATTTTTGGAAAAGAAATGTGCGATTGAACGTGACGGCCAACATGACCGACTAGACAAGTAATGTCGCGATTCTTATTCCCTCTTCTCCTTACTTCATCCCATCGAGCTGGTGAACTGAAGCAAGGAGGAGAAAGGCGGGGCTGCTTCCCCTCATTCTCAACTGTTCCAGGAGGACATTGACGTCAGAGTCCTCGCTTGATCGCGCCCTTCTTTTCCAGAAATATGGCCATCCATTTGAGATATTGATGTACGAGTGAGGTTTTGGAGTTCGTAGCGTTCCGTTCAACGCATCTGTGGCCTTATTTTGAGACATCCAAATTTCGGTTCAGTATCTCTCTAAAGTCTCACTGAAGTGTGTTCCAGAGGTATGTATTTACAGCATAGTCATCACTTGCAGATGGAATGCAGTAAAAGAAAACAAAGGTTATCGAGCCATTTATTAATACTTCTTAGTGTTAAATCGCCCATGATCCCAAAACTTGGAATTGTGCAGAGTTGTTCAATGAAGCAAACTTTTTAACCAATATGCAAAGTTTTAAGTTTATAAATTCACCCTTCAAAGAGGTAAATAAAAGTACACATCAAATAAACACTGCACCCTCTGAGGAAAACTGTTATTTACAAAAGGTAAAGATAATGACCAGTTCTATTGGTCTAACATGCAGTAGAACACCCGTGACACGCAACTGTAGAAAAAATTTGCAAAAATTTTATAGATCTTAAAAAAAAAAAAATGAATATTTTTTATGCGTTAGGATGATGATATTGCAGCTTTTCAGAATGAAAGGCCATGAAAATGCAGAAAGTAAGCTCGCAGACTCGTTCCTTACAAAATTTTAGTATAGGAACTTTAAAACTGGTGTAACGTATTAATTCATATCAAATGATAGTTTTACTGAACCAAGATTTGACGCCTAAAAGAGAAACGGACAAATGCGCTTGAAAGTTGAGAAAGCTGCAGTATGTTGGAAATAATTTATTAAAGCAAAAATATTTTAGTCACAGAAGTGACTTTTTGTCAAAAACCATCAGGATATTTGAAAGCTGATGTGGCTATTTGTTAAAAAATGACTCTTAAAAATAAATTGCAATTTTAAGGTAGTGTCTCCCGTTAAGAGGGCGCGGTACCTCTATTTATTCGTCCGTTTCAGACACCAGATGGCGCGTGGCTCGTTACGTGGTTGAACGCGCGACTTCTAGATGGCGGTAGTATCAAAGTGTGAAAAGGCGCGCATTATCCGCTGCGTGAAATAGATCCCCGAAACGTGTCGTGTGACGCTGTTCATTGGCGGAGGAAGCTCTTTCCTCCCTCCCTCGCGCGCGCTTGGTATGTCTGTTGTCAGTCAGCTCAGTGTGCATTGCATCGGACGTCGCTGATAATACGCGCAGTGGCCGAGTCCGGCCTCTGTGCTGTGTGATGCAGTGGGTGGCGCTCGTTTCTGTTCTGAAGTAGGAATGAAAATGTCGGTCCCCTTTTTTACGACACTCGATTCTATAGCTTGGGTTTTTATCTCAAGTGAAGTACGGTACCACCTTTCCGAAATCATACTTTGTGGCGAGCGATTGAGAGTCAGGTTAGCATTTTATTTTGGTCAGCACTACACATTCAATGAAGATCTCGGGCAGCGATGTAAATATGTGTTGCTCCCCAAAGTGGGTCCAAGGTGCACAGTGACAATTGGAAATGGTATTGAAGGCGTGCGACCGTCGGTTGGTAAAATATGCGAGTTAGATTCTCTTATTCAGTCTAATCATTTTTGCCAACGTCTTTTATCTGTTTCGACAAATTACATGGTCAAGTCTATTGATAACCTTGGGTAGAATAAAGACAGGCTTTTCATCTCTACAAGTGAAAGCTAAGTGCTTGTTAGACCAATTAATCACTTACCTTTTACACCAGACACCACTGTGTAGATGAAAAACTTGTCTTTATTCTCCTTTGGCCCAAAGCCCATACATTTCCCTGTCATCTTAACCGCGAATGGAGGTCTTTGACATCATTTTTGTTGCGTTTGCTCGCGCACACCGGCGGCTGCTGGCTCGTGGAAAGAATGTGTGCCACTTATTATGGACGCTAAATTCCTTGGTTCAGTATCCCTTTAAGCAACCAAGATACTGTATTTTCCAACCAACTGTCTTCTGTTGGGGTACAAGCCTTACTATGTTTACTACATGTGGGTACAAGCTGCATGTAGTAAAGTTTTAGGCAGGTTTAATTGACATGAAATATTAACGCATGATGTAAGCAAAACTAGGCATTTATAGTAATTGTGAACTTCTTTCATGCAGGTTGCAACACCACCATTTGAAAATTTCAAGGTATCCTGCAAACATTGCAAGGTACACAATGCTTCGACATGCTAAGGACACTCCCAGTCCCGAAAGGTGAGTTTGGGAGTTATATTGGCGGTCTATGGTTCTGGTCTTTCCCAAGCTTGGTCTTGGAAGGTATTTGTAGCGCATGTTTGTTCAATTGGTAACCCAGATTAATTTTTTTTTATACCAGATGTTTCATAGGATCTTAAGTCTTGCACAGTTGTTATTTCTTAAATTTTGTTTTGCATGTTTCTGCTTTGTGCACTTGCAAATAAGGTTAGCAAACATTGTGCCATAAATTTTACTGAATGGATGTAGGTTAGGATGAAAAACATGGTTGCATGTTAACATTGAGGGCAAATAGTCTTACTTGGAATAAGAATGTTTCATGTTAAACATGGTAAATCAAATAAACTGCAGCAAAGTAGTAAACTGGGCCAGTTGGTAATAATTAAACTTGATTTTTTTTGAGCTAATTAGTTAATTAATAGTTAACTTAAGTTTTTTGGTGCCACACCAAAGTACATTCGAACACGCACCTGTGTGATTAGTTTGTTTAATCCCTGTTACTCGAAACTGGGCTGTCAATTTTTCTTTATGCGTAATGGCGCATACGAGGAAGCGAGGAAAACTGTTTTATTTTGTTTTGTCACTTTCTTTATTGTACGTAGAAGTTCTGTTTCGGCGACCTCTGTTTCGGTATGCTCCTTCAGTGTCACAGAATCAATGTCGTTCAAGCTCTCACTTCATGGCAAACACTGGGATCTAGAAATTACTAATGAACTCTGTATTCAATGACTATAAAAATAAGATAGTTACGGTTATGAATAAAAAAAGGCAGAGTAAGGCCACTCAATCCTCGTGACCCCAGGGTATAAGGTCAAGGTGCCACTGCATACTTTATGCTCGCAATAATTCATACTTTGATATTTCATATTTCTGGTTAATTCAAACAAATTTCAGAATTTCTGTTGTCCCAATATGTTTTTGATTTATTTATAAGCCACTTTATTTGAACGGTGTTTTCGTCAAATTCATACTTTTTGTTCTTGCTTTGTTTGTTGAATGAGCTTCTTATTCTTAGCGAGCGCCAGTGCACTGTGGAGAGGCAACACCCGTGGAGCTCGCTTTCACAGTTGTTGCTTCTCTGCAGTGCAGCAATGCTCGGTAAGAAGTGCGCTGAATGGGGCTAGTAGTCCACATTTGACAACTTTTTTGCTGAATGAACAAACTTTATTTTGTTTTGAGGTGTTATCTGCTGTTTAAACAGTCCGCGACAGACAACATATTTGAGCGATGAATCACCTTGCCTCGTACATTTCACCAATGTTTCATGCGTGGCATGCCTGCTTATGATTAGTAGGCCTGTGTAGAAGAAATCATCAAATATCTGCTTTTTATGTCTAGCCATCTATATAGTAACAAATCATAATTTTACCTTGCATGATATTTAGATAAATTTTTAAAATTCAAATTTCCATTATAATTCAAACACGATTTGTGGCTTCCTGGAGTTTGAATTAAAAACTCTACTGTAGGACTGTGTCACGAAAAGTAAAATCCAAGAAAAATATCTTAAATTGGAGGCATGTTTTTTTCATAAATAAATATCCAAAGCATGCTGTAGCGTTAATGAGACTAAAATTTATCTTTGGCATGCAGGAAAAAAACAAACAAAAAAAACTGGCATGCAAAAAGTTGAAGCAGTTTGTACACACTCGCTGTCACACTGAACCTTAGTTCCCATGCGTATCTTGACGATTCAGGTTGATCCCACACTGAAGGTCTGAGCTTGCTTTCCTGCAGAACACTAGACAACAAATGACTGCATGGAGTAGAAGGATCCTAGCAAATGACGAAGCTCAGAATATTAATGACCAAAAAATGTGATTTCTTTGTTCACTTGTTTATTGTCCCTGCACACATGGCATTTTTTCAGGTCTAATCATATTACGAGCTTTGTCGTTTTGCTGGGATCCTTCCGTACTTTGCTGCAATCGGTTGTCTCGTGTTCTGCAAGAAAGCAAACTCGCGGACCTTTTCCTGAGTGCTCGTGCTTCTTCTATGCCTTTCTTGTGATTATGCCTTCTGATAGGTTTGTTTACTGTTCATGCGTCATTACCCTTAGGTACAAGCTTCTCTTCAAGGGGAAGACACGATACAAAACCGACGGCATCAACAGTGTCAATTATGAAAGGAAGGATCTTGTGCTCAAGAAGCTTTACACTTGGGTCTTGGCTGACCTGAAAGCCCCGAAATGACGGCCAGGCGTACCCAGACTGTTCAGGTGGCGCCACGATTCCCGAGTGTTGACTACTCTAGTGTCTGCAGTGTGCGTGTGTGTGAAGTACTTCTAAAGTGTGAAGTGCGGCAGTTCTGTGTTCTTCTGTGAAACGACTTCAGCCCCCTCGTGCCACATTCGGCTCAGTTGACTGAGGAGTGCAAGAAAAACTTTTCTTCGAAACAGTGCAACATGCTTCAGCAGTTCTCGTTTCAATCGCTCTGCAGCTCTGCCTGCACTTGCCAATGGGTGCAATATGCAAAAATCCGGGACCTTCTTCAAAAGCCATATACCTTCCATCCAACCACTTACAAGTTGTGCAGCGTTTTCCAAAAGTGATGCTTTCTACCGAGCAACCCTCTCACAGCTGTAGTCTTTTTTTTTTTTTTTTTACGTGCTCTCCCGTGTGTTTGTGCCTGAAATTGCACTGGAGCTCCTTATTTTGTTCACTCGACACATTTTACGTAATTTTCAAAAGGAGCATAGTACACCAACGCTGATGCTTTCTAGAACTGAGGAATATTTTGGTGGGGCTTTTTTTCATCTTTTTTTACTTGCATATGAAATAGGTCTTGTACAGGGGGGAGAGTGCCCTTTTTTGTGACTACTAGTAGTATTCATTTTTTAACATGGGGCAATGTTGTTGCATTTGTTCTGGAAGTGAGGACGGGGTATGTCCAAATGCTTCGGCTGTGATTTGTTTGCGCCGTTTTTTGGTGACATGAGCGCCGTGTGTCATTGAAGTGCCAGGCTCAGTATTGTTTGTGCATTGTGGTTGAAACTTGCAAAGGTTACAAATAGCACAAAGAACATGTTTGTTTTTCTTTTCATAGTATTTTTATGTGAGAACAGTGAAATAATCCAGGTCATCTTGTTGAGCCCAGATTTCTCTTGCTTGTCTTATTACTTTTAATGTTCTTGTTTTCTTTAGATTGTTTGATAATTTTAGTTCATCACACAAGAGGACATATGAAACGTTAATGTGGTATGTTTCCCTTTTTTTTTAGGAACTATATGTATGTTGACAAATGTGTGAAGAGTCTGGGTTTCACTCTGAAGTCACCAGTGAGCCAATTTTTTTAGTATTGAGAGTCGCATTGTCACCAGAGTGATTGTAATGTGATGCCTTTCACACAATTCTCTGAAGCTTTCCAATGTTGATATTTTCAGCAACTGTGACTGGTTAGCATTTTGTTGCTGTCCTATTTATTATGTTGCAAAGCTGAAAAAACAAAATATTCCAAAAGCATGTTCCAGTTTTATTTTCCATCCCTCATTCAGACATTTCATCTGCCAATTTAGCGTGTGTGCAGACAAGACCTAAAAAAATAGTTCTAGATTGGCTTTCTAAAAGTTTCAAACTTAAAGATGTTAACAAACCTATTAATGCTAAATAAGCAGCAATATAAATTTTTTTTACAGTGCCTCCAACAATTTTTGTGAACACTGCCACTTTAGGTGTACAAAAATGTGTGAATTTTATTAACTAATGTAACTTAAGTAATGAAAGTAACCAAGCAGATGTAATACCAACCTCTTTTTAGTTACTTTAGAACTAGGTTACAAACCATTCAGGCTTCTCATTGCAATAAGCCATTTAAATTCAGTGTCAGGATGGTGCTTATCAGTTTCTGTTTTCCCATCATTGCTCTCCACTCTACGTTTAATACCTCTGCCTTCATTTCCTCGTTTCCTTTGATCTAAACTTGAGCACCACAACTTCGAAAAGAAGCATTTCAGCAAAACAATGGCCTTTTCTGCCCACTTGTTACTCCTTTACACTTCATTTACCTATCGCAACAAGATAGCCTTGGTTTGTAGTGCTTCGGAAGCATCTTAAATTGTCCACAAAGCGAACATTGGTATGAAGCCATATCGTATTGCTTCTTTCCGTTGAAAGATCAAGTTATTGCGATCTAGTCATGCTTTCACTTGCAGTGCTTTCAGCAAAGCATGGGATCATTGGCTGGTAGGGTGTCAGTATTTCTTCATTTTCCACTTCCGGGGGGCTCCAACGTCGTCGTTGCGAGTCTTCTCGCCACAACGAAGGAATTGCCCATTGCCAAGAGATAATGTTGTTCGAATGTGTCACACAGACGTGGCTACATTTGCAGTAAAACTTGTTCGAGAAGCAAAAAAAACAAAAAAAGCCATATATCTTTTTTCTTGTTTCCAGGTGCAAACAAGAACAAACACCTGATACATTGTTTCTAAACATCGTTATTTTATTTTGAGCACTTGTTAGAAAAGTGAAATACGATTTTATGATCCACTTTAATACTTTCTGCAGCAGATTGTTTACTGCACAAGGACCAACCTTCCTGACCCGAGTCCTTTGGGCTGACAAGTGGGTATATTAGACATTTGCTGATCAAAAATGCTCTATAAAGCAGCCATAGCAGGGTCAAATGCCCTGCCCCATTCAAAATATAACCTTCCGCTAGCAAACTTCATGCCTTTCGAATACATGGTGACCCAAATATCGTAACGATTTTCTTACTCCAGCTATGTACCGCTCAAAAGTCCCTTGTGTTCATAACCTATGACAACCGCAGCAGCGTTCATTCCCCCAACTTGCAGCCAATAGACCTACAGGGTGAAACAAGGAGACGCCAGGCTCTTTAAATCGACCGGAAAATTCGGTTTCTTAAAGGGGCACTGACACATCAAAATCATATTTTTTTTTTATTATCCGAAACGATTGAAAACGATGCCGGGACATTACCCTCAAAATTTGAAATTTGGGAATCCAGTATTTGTGAAGTAAAAAAACAATTTCCAAATGCCGAATTCGAAGTTCCCGCGCGATCGGCGCCGGTGCCTTGACGTCAAAAATCGCGGAGACCTGAGAGTCGACTTTTTTTCACCACTCCCTGCTGTTGCCATGGCGACCCAAAGCGAGGAGGAAAGGAGTGAGCGGCGGCGTTCGGCGGACCGGTTTTGAGCGGTGTCGCCTGTTTTCCGTTGGAGGATACAAATCCAGGAGACGGCACCACAACGAACTCCCGATTTTTGGTATTTCAAAAAGAAGGGCCGTAATGCGTTCGCAATTGCGTTAAAAAACATGTTTTACGATTGCCGTTATTAAATGTTATAGAGATGTCGCCTACAAAGCTTCTAAATTTCCTGATTTTTGACGTCACCGATCAAAAGAAGCGAGGAGGCGAGAGGCGGGAAAATCAAACGCCAAAAATAAAAAGGCGCGCGCGCGCGCGGGAAAATTTTTTTTCGCGATGCGTTTTTTTTTGCGTGTCTATGACTGCAACTTGCATCGTTTTAGACAATAAAAATAAATACGACCTTTGGGGTGTCAGTTCCCCTTTAACCTATTGGCGACGTGCGCGACCGAAAGTGTCGCTGTGGTCGGCCTTCCACGATTGGCCCAAAAGCTGACTATGACGTCGGAAAGGGTATAGGCTCCTTGCACTGACGTCACATCGCACACTTTTGAACACCAAGTAAGAGGAGGAGAGGGAAGCTGCTTTTGTAAGAATTTTGAGTGACAGGTTAATCTTCTATAATCTTCTGGGGGGAGAATAGCGACGCCTGTACAAATCCGGGTGGTACAAAGGAGGGTCCTGATAAGAGGGGAGCTCCTTCTTCCCCTCTTCTTTGGAGGGCAACGGAAATGACGTCCTGTGCAAGGAGCCTATAGGCTCCTTGCATTGACGTCACATCGCACACATTTGCACACCAAGTAAAAGGAAGAGAGGGAAGCTGCTTTTGTAAGAATTTTGAGTGACGGGTTAATCTTCTATAATCTTCTGGGAGGAGAATAGCGACGCCTGTGCAAATCCGGAAGGCACAAAGGAGGGTCCTGATAAGAGGGGAGCTCCTTCTCCCCCTCTTCTCTGGAGGGTATCGGAAATGACGTCATGTGCAAGGAGCCTATACCATCGACGGAAATAAGAGTAATGAAAGAACTTTAATTTCGACGGTGTTGGCAGTGTTGTTTTGAGAGCGCAATGATTTCAGGCTTCCACCATGCTATTTACAAACACCATCGAACTTGTTGTTCGCAAGGTAATGACGTCACAAGGGGGAACCATAGGAGGGCGCCACCAAAACATCTCGCCGCTAATCGCGCTACGACTTTGTGCAGCGTTGCCCACAGATGGTGCATTTTTTTTTTTTTTTTTGTAAAATTTGCAAAGAGCGAACTTGCCTGAGGAAAAAGTGAAGAAAGAAAAAGGCTTAGCTCCTATGGAAACGCAGCGACGCCACCGGTCTGCAAACAACACTGCGCCGTTTCGCACGGGAGACAAGAGATGGCGCAAGCGGTCGCGACGCCAACTGCTGCCAACGAACGAGCAGACGACACCGAGAGCCGGCCCTTTTGCAGACAAGGAACTGCAGTTCCTTGCTGTTACCGCGCCTGTCTTTTTTGTTTCTGCGACTGTCGCCGCTATAAGATAAGATAAGTAATAGGTTCGGTGAGGAACGCTTCAGCTGCCTCGTTAGCCAGTTGCGACGATTTAATCTCCCTTTCAGAGCTAGCATTTGTGCGAGGTGAAAGATTAGCCGCTGGCGTCTGTCAGCATCAGTGAAGACGTCCTCAGCTTCTCTCCCCATCGCGTGAAGAAAGGAGCTCGCCCGTGTTTCCGCGTTGCGCAGGTAAAGTCCTGATAGGATACGGTAGCGCTCACACCTTGCAATCCAGCATTTCCAATTGCTTGTGTCACAACAGTCGAACATTTTCGATGTAGACTTTCCGCATTTTTACCATTGTGCCCTCCGGGGTAGTTTTCTCTTCCGTCTGGTTTTCCCTGGGTACCCTTCGATCGCTGAAATGCAACTTTCTGACCTCGAAGTTCACCGCTACCATTATGGTGTATATACAGTTGGCTCCAAAGAAGCGCAGGTATGGTTTTGACATTTGGCTGATGGCTTCCCTTCTCTACCGACCTCCGGGACGACAACGCGTAAAAGTAATCCGCGCGCGCGGGTCACACCTTCAGTCCGAGCGCAGTGGACGCCACGAGCTATCCCAGCCAATCAGCGCCGGGAGAAAATCGCGTGACCTGCCGGTTGGGCAGAGCGACACAGGGAGCTCAAGGTCACATGACACTCTCTCAACGCTGGATTGGCTGGGATGGCTCCTAGCGTCCGCTGCGCTCGGACTGAAGGTGAAACAGAGTATAGCTCCGATTACCCAAAACACTGATTGATTAAAAAATCTAAGTGTTTAAATAAATCTTTAATACATATTTTTATATGTACATAAAAGCTGGTTTAGGTACACACCTTTTATGCCACAAATTATATTCCAATTCATAAAAAAAATTATGTATATCTTACATATTTTTATAAGAGTAAAGCTATACGCACTACCTCGTGCACCTCGACCGGAAATGGCTATACGCACTACGCGGAGAGCTCATGCCATCGTGGTAAACATTTTCGGACGGCGCATGTATCGCTGGGGAGCGTGTTAACCCACTGCCCCCTTCCCCCCCCCCCCCCTTCCCCCCGTCTGCGTTCATGCCGCTTCGTGGCGACTGTGTGCGGCTGCTAATTACAAAACTTAACCCACTTGGCCCCTTCATCAGCCGGCAACCCTAGCACTGCTGTCCCCAACTGCGCCTCCGGAAAGGGAGTCCCATACCCCCTTTAGTTCCCCGAAGTTTCGTCGACAACATTCTTCCTTTTTTTCAGTGCTAATCGTAAAAAAAGAAATGTTGTTAATATCGCCAAATGCTGAAGAAAACAACATATTCGGGAAAAGTAAATGAAAAAGAAAGCCCCCACTGCGGATCGGACTGGGGCCGCTGCGTGTGAAGCAGACACCTTAGCGCTGAGCTGCGCTACCTTTCCGGAAACTCGTTCTAACCATTCGTTTTATACGAGTTTCGCATCGTGCGTGTAGCAATTTCCGGTCGAAGTGCACGCCGTAGTGTGTATAGTCTTACTCTTTTTATAAATACATAAATATATAATTAGTAATCAAAGGTATTTCTATTTGTATAACTCTATAAATGGAAGTTTTTTTCCTTCATTAACAAAGATCAATACGCCCACAACTTGTCGAAATGGACAGAGCATGTGAACCCCAACTGGAAATGGGAAAACCATTTAAACTCCAACTGGGAATCCCTCCAACCAGTTAATTCCTTAACTGGTCCCAGTTCAGCCCTACTCGTTCCCTAACTGGGCATGGTCAAACCAGTTGACTCTCGATTGGGAATGGTTCAAGCCATTTGACCCCTCAGCTAGTCGCAGTTGGACTCCTATTGGTCCCAGCTGGTTCCCAC